TATATATATATCGTTTTCGGGTTCATTCTGGACTTGGTCAGCCTATAATCCGTACAATTGTTTCTCTCCTCTCAGAGAATTGCTGCAAATAAGCTGGGTTGGTCCGAACGTGTGAGTAGCGTGTTACTCTCACCCACACCAATCTCCATCGATAAAATCGATTCAATCACGGGCACCGTTTTGAAAAGCTATCTGTATCGGGATATGGAGTGTATTGATCGAGTGAGTCTTTTTGATCCCCACCTAACCGCATTCATATTGTCGGTGACGTTTACGAGCTGCATTAGCGATTTGCTTTCCTTATTTTATTGTCATTTCTAATGTCATTGCACGTTGTATGGCTTCGGTTGATATATATATATATATATATCCGAATTTTATTTTTTACCTCTAGATATTCATAAATTGGGTTCATTCGCTTTCAGAAGATAGCTGAGCTAAAATAAAAAAGGTGAATAATTTCATGCTATCCCCCCATCGATCGAACAAAAAGTGAACTGGAAATAATGTGAAATGATTGTAGCTCGGGATGCGAATGTTGTCGTTGTTGCTCGTGGTGTGTTCTCCAAACGGGGAGTGTTGTTCGCAGACATTTCCTAGCCAGGCTAGGCAACACCATCAGTCCAACTTCGAGGAAGCGCCAGTCCTCAGCGTGACCACGCTTATTTAGTTCTTCTGTTCGAGGGTTTTGATTGGCGGTTTGCGTCCCTTCAATACTGTTGGTCAATTGTGACTATTTGCTATGATTTGATTGGCTCCGTCGTTGTCATGGTGATGCCTTCTCTTTCCTCATTGGTCAATTGGCTTTCTTGGACCAACAGCAAACCGGTTTCATCTATCAATACTTAAAGCAACACTGTTGATCCAAAACTACCCCATTTAAAACCGGCCCAGAACCAGTTCTAACAAGTTTGAAGCCGGTTCATACCGGTTTGCGGTTGGCCCATGAAAGCCAATCGACTGATGAGGAGAGAGGAAACGTCACCATGACAACGAAGCAGCCAATCAAATCACAGCACTGACGACGTTGCCTAGCCTAGCTACGAAACGTCTGCGAACAATACTCCCATCTGGGAGAACACCACCACCACCGCCACCACCAAAAAGAACAACATAGAAATGGACTTTTGTGAAGGTCGTTTTAGGCCGACGTGTCTTACTTTTTCGAGGCTCTTTTTTTCCCATCCTGCCTGATTGAATACAATTTTTCACTTCTAACTAGCTACTAGAAGGCTTCTTTCTACTAAGATACAAGATAAACCTGATGTTTGTGGTTCGCGAGCAGCCACTGGTGCAAAATGTCTGCTGCACAGCAGATGACCACGGTGTTATCTTTTACGGTATGACCTCGAAGTATGTCTGTTCAACAACAACAACAATAACAACAACAACAACACACACACACACAACAACAACAAGAACGACGACGACAACAACAGGTTGCAAAGCACCACTGGCCGTCGCAGGTTCCATCCAAATTTGGAATCGCAAACTGCATGCTTTCGCATGTTGATCCCGGTTATTTCGATCGCTTGTTCTTGCCCCCACGAGATGGAGTTGGCGGTCCAATACTGATTTGAAATCATTCAGGAAGAATCACGAATGAGTCACTTCAAACAGCTAAAACATCTTTTGGGCCTTACCCTGTAGATGTGAGACAAGTCCTTGTAACCCTTGGATTCGGTTCCCTGCGATAGCCCTTGACATGACTTACCCGACGGCGAACCATCTCCCTACCTTTGTATTCTAACCAGCGGAGCTGGTTGTTGATTTCAATTCATTGTATATATATATATATATATATATATATATTTACCACCGGC